TGCCAATGCATGTCAGCTGGTAGAGTTGGCATGGTTGATTGGGTTTGCTTGGAACGTAAGATGTACGGGATCCTAGCGACAATCTCCTTCGCTCAGCACCATTCAGTGGTAGGCTCAGCACACGCACAGTTGCGTGTCAAAGCCAACCTAACTATTATAGGACGACCGTTGCTGACACCTAATTTCTTAGAACAAGCATTGTCTGCCCCAAGCAATCCGTTGTGTAGGAGTGGATCCGAGGGGTCCTTAACCCTCGCCCATGCAGGGGGGGGGTTGGTGCAGCCCCCCCCCCCCCTGAGGATTTTCGGAAATAGTGCAAAAACGGCGGCGCGCAGCGCCGCCAAATTTTGGGTACCTTTTGGGGCAAACCTTGCGCATCTTTTGATAAAAAAAAATTGACCGGGTCATGTCAGGTCACGGAGTTATGACGTCACAAAGGGAACAGCCTCCGACCGGATTTTCACAAACTGAGTGCCAACGCCCGAGGTTTCCTGCCGGTGGTACGGACATCGGTTGATGGATCGTGATGAAACTTCCCATGCGTTGGGGCAAGTATTGGCTATCATATGGTATAAGAAACTTGACCGGGTCAGGTCAGGTCACGGAGCTATGACGTCACAAGAGGAACAGCGTCCGGTACTATTTTTGAAAAGCGCCCGAACCACTATTTTGCTAATTCTTGTCACGTCAATGGGAATATGCAGCAATATTAGCTTCTATAGGGAGCAAATGGACCTCCCAAATCCAAAAATACAATCAGATTTCAAAAATTTAAATTTTGATTTTTCGAATTTCTGCCGCCGACTGTGACCTTGCCGACTTCCGGCGCTCCCAACGCGCCATTTTTAGAGCTAGGGAAACGAAATACATACCAAACGATAGAGAATTGATCAAGTAACACGACAGTGAAGGTTTCAAGTCGATATCTCCCACCGTTTTGCCGCAATCGCCGCGGAAAGTTGAAAAAGTCTATTTTTTTCCGAAAATTTGACCTTTGACCGGTCAAAAGTAGGTCAAATGTTGACCTAGGACCAAAAATATACCACCAATCGCGAGATCTCGGCGAGAGCAATCCGTTGGTCTTTTCCGCTAAGCTCTACGACGCTTCGTTTTCAAACGCCAAGGGGGGGTCGCACCAACCCCCCCCCCCCCTGCATGGGCGAAGGTGGCAGATCGCCGTTTACGGGCGAGGGTTAAAGGGATCCTCCCACCTTAACATTAGATTTGAGTTGAGATAGCCAAAATGGGGTCCCTGGCTCACAATTACCGGTTTCGGCACTCACAACATCGAGAAATGCCTTAAATCGGAAATATTGAATTTCAAAATTGCAGCATTTTGATTCAGAGGGGCTAATGCATAGGAATACCCCTCTGAATGTGTGACGTCAGCGCAGATATCTAACGATTTCTAAATGTTTGACTAAAACGTTTTGTAGCACGCGGTGGTATATGCTGCTTTGCGCGCAACAAATGCCGCACTTTCAAATAAAGTCGCTAGGAACAGCGGAGATCCCAAAAAGTAAACAAAAGTAAAAGTCTAATATCTTGAAAACCGGTGAATATTTTTCGGTGAAATTTGGTATATTTATTTATTTATTTATTTATTTTATTCAGGCCTCCCTCCAACGGGCTCTTGTGTTGTCCCAATTATAGGAGGGCTCCATCTCCTCCCGGCCACAATACCCCACCCCCCAGGCTACGGCTGAAGTGGGAGCCTACCCCACACCTGGTGACACAGCCGGGGACGACGCCCGCGGAACGGGCGGAACCGGGAATCGAACCCGAATCCGGCACCGCCCGCACCGCGGGTCGACGCCTTAACCGACTGCGCCACCAGGGCCGCTATATATTCTTTTTTGCTCTTTCTGAACCGAGCGACATCACTTTCATGCCAATTCATAAGCTTTTTTGAAGGTGGGAGGGTCCCTTTAATCTGGAGTGAATACGGTGCTGGATTTTAGTGCTTCGATTTTTAACGTTTCACTGCCCAGGTCAAACGAAGTCACATACTCACCAACGTTTTGCAGGCCAAGTTACTACAGTTTATGTGCTAGAGAATCTGCTTTTGATCGCAATTGTTCCTATTCACATATCCAACAATATCTGTGCAGCTGTCTTTTTTTTATTCACCTTTAACCCTCGCCGGCCGAGGGGGGGGGGCGGGAGCCGCCCCCCCCCCCATAGGGTTTTTTCGCGATAGCTCCGAACACGTTGGCGATAGAGAGCTGAAACTTGGCATGCCTGACCTTTGATTCAAGCCGCATCTTTTGACACCAACCGCATTTTTGTGTCAGGTCAGGTCACTGACCTATGACGTCATAAGTGAACCTCTGCACTAGTGGTGCCAATTTCATGAAATTTCAATTCCAATTCCGATCCAATTCCAAGAAATTGCCAAGTAAATTTCCAATTTTGTCCAAAGCGGGGGCTATTCCAATTTTTAACGATTTTTGCATTTTTTGCGTAAATTTTAAAAGTGTTTAAAAGCGTTTTAAAGGCCTCCGTTTTAAAATTTTAAATTTTAAAGGCCTTGTGTTCCGATTAATTTCCAAAAAATGTTAAGAATTCCGTCCAAATTCCAAATTGGAATTGGACAAAAATTGGAATTCCAAGAAAAGAAATTCCGATTGGCACCAATATGCACGGTCTTCAGATGTCGCAACTTCGCAACGCCCTCACTGCCAGAGGAGATGTCACAGGGAAATGAAACTTGCAGGATCTAGTATCCATTATGAGTCTCACAACTTGTATATCTCGGATTTTTCCTTAAGGTTATATGAGGTCAGGTCATTTTCGTGACCTCACCATTATAAGTCAATGGGGAAAATGAAAACTGCTATTCTGGCGCCGGGAATGATCCCCAACTATCTCAAGCACACAGAATCTTGATTTGATGCACTCCTTGCAAGGTTAAATGCGTCACTTTTGCGATATTGACCTTGCGTGACGTCATTTATGACGTCATCAAGGTCATATTAGTTTTCGTCAATAACTCCCGATCAAATTGAGCTAGCGAGTCGGGAAAGCCACCAATGGACTCAGGAAGACCTGCCGAATCGAATGATATGCAGCATGACCTCTTTCGACCAACTTTGTGACCTGGGGGTGCTGACCTGACCTTGACCTGAGGTCAACACCCTAGGTTGACCTGACCCAAACAAAAAGTATATCATTCGACGCGCCTGAGCGAGGCGAACACGATGCTGCCAAAATCGCGGCTCTGCGGCCGTATTTGCGAAGTTATTCACCAAAAACTGAACCGTACCTTGGGGCACTTGACCTGACCTCAGAGGTCACCGGTTGACCTAGAACCTTAAAATCGGGTACCAATCTCTGCGTCTCGTAACGGCGCACACGCTCGTTTTTTCCGCGACGCGCTAGCTCCACCAGGGGCGAAACGGCGAGGGGTGTTGTACCCGCCCCCCCCCCCCCCCTCGGCCGGTGCGTATGTAGAAAACCAATAGGTCCGGCGAGGGTTAATCGCTGTGACAGCTTCGCAGTGTGCGCTGGTCACTTTCAGGGGCTCCACTATACGGTCGCAGGTGGGGAGGGGGATGTTCAACCCTAAAACGCACCCTTTATGCATAAAGCTTCATTACGAAAGTCAAATCATTGGGGGTCCGGCCCCCCGTGACCCCACCGCGCCGGTGCGGTGGAGCCCGTGGTCACTTTCATTGGAATAAGTAAGACAATGAGGAATGCTAGCCTGTACGCTTGTAGTGCAGGGAACGGAACGTGCAGTTGCGATACATGCTTTTTAATGAAAATAGCTGACACCGGTTAATAAAGCCACCGCTTAATAAATCCAAAACACCTTGACCAAGGTGGATTTATTAAGCGGATTCCACTGCAATACCGGGTGGCAGCGCCGGCAGCGCCGCCTGTAGAAGCAGAGTGAAACAGCGACGGTTCCTAGATGTCGCCTCGCTACAGGCCACTGCTTTCACGATGTCAAAGACAAACTGATTTAGTGGGTGAAATATTGAACACATTTTCCTACAGGGTCTTTCATAATGAATGTTACTTTTGAAAGAGCCATTTCTCAGGACATATATGTTCCTCATGTAATATGTACCATCACATGAAACAGAAACACATCAGCGTTTTTGCACACACAACTTTCATTTTAATACTCCTCAGGAATTTTCCACTGATCGCCCTTAATTAAGGCACACGTTTCGGCCCTCTGATGAAGGTGTCGCACCCCGCGCCTCACAACGTCTGGGTCCAGGCTTCCAGCAAACCCTTCCACTGTGGTTCGCAGTGGATGGCTGCAGGAGGGTTTTGTCTCAGATCAACCAATGCGACTCCCCAAAGCCAGTAGTCCAGCGGGGAGAGGTCAGGACTCCGTGGTGGCCATGGTCGCTCGGTGAGGCGGCTGATAACGCGCTCTTCGAAATTTTCGATCAGCCACTGGCGCAACAGCTGCCGTGGTGTGCACTGTGGCACCATCCTGCTGGAACCACAGGCCGTCTATTTGAACCTTGTCCCTGACCTGAGGCAGAAGCATTCCTTGAGCAGCCTGAGGTAAGCCACCCCGTTCAGTGTTGACCCAGGGGAGAGCCAATGGCTGAAGACTTGTCCGTCGACCGTAATCCGTAATGCGTTTTGGTGGTGTCGACATACTCTGCTTTTGCGTGAAAGAAAATTGGCGTTGTGAATTTTTTATTTTTTTGGAACAAAACCCTAATCAATTTGCAACAATACCCATATAAAATTCACGCGGAAGTGATAAATTAAGAGCTCCTAACTAAATGTTCAAAAGTAACATTCATTATGAAAGACCCTGTAGCTCTAACGCCCCGCAAAGTGTGCAAGCTGCTGAAAACAAGCATCTGTTGCATATCAGCGCACATATGCGCCCCATTATTTGACCCAGACCCCGTCCCTATGGAAGTACGGTCCGTCCTTGCCCAGCCAGCCGTCAGGCAGGGATGAGTCAGCCGGTTTCGAGTAAGCCGCTAAGATGCTAAGACCAGAATGAGACGGAGCCCCTCCCCCGCGACCGTGACGCCGGCCGCACGGTATAAAGCCGGTCGAAGTCGGTGGATCCTCACATTCGAGTAGTGGCCATCTACTCAGTGGCACAACAAGAACACTAGGTGAGTGCGCCGCGCCGGCGGCATCGCGTGCGATATACGATACCGGGAGTCTGTGAATGTGATAGTCAGCCGGCGACCGGACGCCGTCAGTCTGACCTGACCTGACCTGAGCTGAGGTCGAGTGGTGATTTTGTGACGTACTAGGCCTTGACGAGGGTAAAGTGGTGTGCTCTTGGGTATCTGCCCATCTGCAGGTAAGAAGAGGTGGCTTTAAACGATACACTTTTACCAAAATCGTCAAGTAACATAATTATAACCCACCTAAAAACTGATTGTTAACTTTCCTTAACTCATCTATGATCTAAGCGCCGTCTAAATGGATATGTTATCAATAAAGTTCAGCAAAATTATCCATATGAAAAGGCTGAAATCCCAAAGGCAGTGTTTTCATTGGCAAATTAATCGCATTTGCAAAAAGTACTAACTACCTAGTACGGGTCCATTATGTTGAATAGGGCCAAAAAGACTAAAAATTTCATTGAAACTGGTTAAAAGTTCTAAAATAGCCTACAAATCCCATTATCGAGTCGATAAGTCACTGCGACTTTATAACAATAGCTACCTACCTTACCAACTCCGTTAGCATGGACACACAAAACAACCTACAACGCATATTTGTCGAAAAAGCGTAAGAAAAGTTGATTTACACAGGATGAACAATAAATGCAACAAATACCTATCGCAAATCGTTACCCTAGATTCGTCATCAAATCGATAACAGTTAATTACTACGGGCTAAATCGTTATTAAGTTAGATGTGTCTATTTTTAATTCGTAATGATTTTAACCCGCGCCGGGCCGGGGGGGTGTTTGAACACCCCCCCCCCCCTTGCGGTTTTTCGCAGATATTTCAAAAACGGCGGCGCGTAGCGCCGCCGTTTTTGGCACACCTGTTCATGCATCTTTTCCGTACATGTTGTGAAAATTTCAGACCCAGGTCACCTTAGGTCAGGTCACCAGGTCACGCCAAGTGACCTCACCTCAGAAAAATAAGAATGCTCGTCATAGCTACACCGACTGAACGATTGCCTTGAAACTTCCAGCGATTGATAAGAGCAACACTATCTATAAAATGTATATCTCGGAATTTTGATATCGGTGACCTAAGGTCAGGTCAATTTTGCGGCCTCTCCATTAGGTATAAGTCAATGGGAGAAAATTGAAAAGCGTCTGTTTTGCACGAACGCTATTCTATACACTCTCAAACATCGAGATGTAGGTAAAATAGACACACTGAACCAGAAAATGGCAACTGTGACCCCTCGTTATGTCCCCAAGGTCATCTCAGGTCACGAACAGAATCTAACAGTTTTTCGATGATAACTTCTGATAGAGGCGTGCTAGAGCGCTGAAAACGCCTTAGCTGTGTTCGGCTCGACGTTGCGGTTCGACTGATATGCAACATGACCTTTTCCGGTCAGGTCATGACCTTGACCTGAGGTCAAATTTTCAAGTTGACCTTTCAAGGTCAAATTATAGTTCATTCGACGCGTCTCGACGAGAGGAACACGATGTGGCAAAAGTAATGTCATAGCTCTTTTGAGTCAAAAGTTATTGCCGAAAAAACGTTTTTCGTAAAAACGGCTATTTTTGGAGTTTTTGCCCTCTGGAGGCTAAACCGTTGACCTGAGGTCAAATCTGAGAACATTACTCAGAAAGGTCTGTAAAAGGGCTATCGAATGCGCTTTTTTGCAGCGCTGTAGCTCTATTGGTTCCCGAGATAGCCGTTGGCAGTTTCCAAAATGTTGAAATAGTCAACATTTTACCTTTGGTGACATCTGGTGACCTGACCTTTGACCTGACCCAAAAAATGATCGAAGTGTTTTCGTCCTTATTTTTGACGTTCTTTCGATTGCCGCTTACCGCGTGTCGCTACATGGGCCAGGAGCCGAGTTAGAAGGGGGGGGTGTTCAGACACCCCCCCCCGCGGCCCGGCGCGGAATCTCAGAGCACCGGCCCGGCGCGGGTTAAGACTAGTGATTAAAGACGTACGATTTTAAGGTGATTTTAGAGTAACGATTTGCTAGAGGTCTTTGTTGCATTCATTCTCTCAAAGTTAACAAAAAAATGCATCATTTAATTCCAAGTAGACGTGAGCGATGGCAAAGAGGAGAGGACCGAGGATGCGCCGACCGTGTTTGTTCGACCGCTCGGAACCCCCGCCGGCCAGAGTGGGCAGTAAAGTCCATCCAATCTCATGCAGCTGCAGCTTACCGATATCACATGTATCCGCTCCGTTCGCAGCCGGAATAGAGAGGCAGGTACATGCCGGTGAGAAGTGATTGGACTTTATTGCCCACTGCCCGCCAGTTGTTCAGCCGCGGTACCAAACAGAGCCATTCAAAAGGTCCAATCACTGATCCCCGTGTACCTGCCCTCCTGTTCTGTGTTGCAGAATGTGGCGGATCCTGGTTTCCCTCTTGCTGCTGGCTGCGGCCGACGCCCAGCTCGGTTCGGGCTTCCCGAGCAACCTGGACCTGGCCGATGGCTACCTGCCGCCGCCGGGACCGGGCAACCCGGAGCCGAACACGAAGCCCTGCGAGCAGCCCAAGACCATCTACCGCACGCAGACGCAGCAGGTCACCAACACGGTGACGCGCACCGTGGTGCAGACGGTGCCGCAGCGGGTCGAGCAGACGCGCGTCGTCACCAGCGTGGTGCCCAGCACCCTGGTGCGCACCAGCGTCACCACCATCGTCTCGCCCGTGGTGCGCACCCAAGTGCGGACCAGCGTCGTCCAGCGCCAGAGCACCCGCATCGTCGACGTGCCCGGCCAGACGCGCGTGGTGACCCAAACCCAGACGCAGAGCCAGGTCACCTTCAACACGAGGCAGAGCGTCGTCGAGCGCACCCAGGTGGTCACCAGCACACAGATTCGCGTCTCCAACGTCGTGCAGCGCGTCACGCAGACCGTCACCCGGACGGTGCCGCAAGTGGTCTACGTCACGAGGACGCAGCAGATCCCCGGACGCACTGTCGTCATCACGCAAACGGAGCAGCGCCAGACCACCAGCGTGCAGCAGTACCAGCCGCCGGCGCAGACCAGGGTGACGACACAGCAGCAGTACAGGACGCGCACCGAGATCCAGCAGGTGCCCGGACCCGTCATCACCCAGTCCAGCAACGTCGTGCGCACTCAGGTGGTGCAGAGCACGAGGGTGCAACAGGTGCCCCAGCTCAGCACGCGCGTCGTCCAGGTCACCAGCGTGCGCGAGCAGACCACGACGCAGACGCAGCGTGTGACGCAGACCCGGGTGGTGACGGTGACGCAGACGCAGACCGTGCCCGTGGTGGTGACGCAGACCCAGGAGCGTCTGGTCACCGTGCCCGTGGAGCTCACCCAGACGCGTACCGTCGTGCGGACGGTGCCCGGACAGAACGTCGTGCGCACCGCCGTCCGGACGCAGACCCAGACGCAGACCGTGCGCGGCCAGGACCGCATCATCACCGACTACCGCACCATCGACAACGTCCGGACGCGCGTCCTCACCAGCACCGTCATCCAGCCGTCGGTCGTCACCCGGGTCACCACCAGCACCGAGCCGTGCGAGGGCTACAACTACCAGGAGCCCAGCAACCCCCTCAGATTCTAGAGGGCCCCCACCATACACCGTCCACACGGCGGCGGCCACAGGCCAACGCGGTAGTCCGCCAACCGCCTGGCGGTCGTCGCTCCATCATCTGTTAAGCTGAATAAGTTATGCGCGTGTCCACCAACGACTACACTGAAAGTGCCACAGCTGCCCCTGACCATGTGACAACATAAGGCTGACATGTACTTACTCGTCATCAAATGATCAATAAACCACGCTAAAAAATTGAGCAGCGATATGTTCATTACGAAAGACTGCCAATGATGCGAAAATGCCAACAGTCTTTCAGGTAAGCATGCATGCTTTTTCATGCCTGTACCCCTGCGCTTGCTCGTCTTGCCCTGTACCCTCTATGTGCTTGGACTCGTCGCCCTTTGCGATTCATGGCACTCTGCTGTTTCACCTCAGCTGGCTTCTGAGGTCTGACGGTCGTTGTGTGGCGTTCTGTTGCAGGATGCGCTCGTTGCTGGCTCTGACATGTCTGGTGGCGTCGGCGCTGGCTGCGCCGCAGTTTGCCGGCCAGCCGTACCTGCCGCCTCCGACGCCCAGCTACCCCAACCCGTCCACATCGTGTCCGCCCGTTAACGACGTCTACCGCACCACCTACGTCACCAACACCGTCAACCGGGACGTGGTGCGAACCAGCCAGGTGGTGGTGCCGCAGACCGTCTACGTGACACGCACGCAGGTGGTGCCCACCGTACAGACGCGCCAGGTCGTGTCCACCCAGATCGTGGCCACCACCCGGCTCCAGCAGGTCGTCTCCACGGTCGTGCGCACCTCCTTCGTGACGCAGAGCCGTCGCGGCCAGGATCGCGTCATCCAGCAGACGGTCACCCGCACTGTGCCTGTCGTGCGGACCATCACCGAGACGCAGACGCGCGTCCTGACGCAGACGGTGCCGCGAGAGGTCGTGACGACGCGCGTCTCCACGCAGGTGGTGCAGCAGACGCGCCAGGTGCCGCAGATCTCCACCCAGACCAGCGTCGTCCAGCGCCAGCTGCCCGACCAGACTCAGGTGCGCACCCAGTACGTCACGCAGACGGTCGTGCGGACCCAGACGCTGCCGGCGCAGACGGTCCTGCGCACCGTCACGCAAACGCAGACGATCGTGCAGACGCAGACGCAGCGGCTGCCCGCCCAGACCGTCACCGTCTCGCGCACCCAGGTGCTGACGCGTACCCAGGAGGTGGTCAGCACCCAGTACGTGCCGCAGGTGGTCACGCAGACGCAGACCAACTACAACACGCAGATCCGCACCGCCTACCGGACGCAGCAGGTCCAGGTGACGTCCACTAGCGTGCAGCAGCGCGTGCTCTCGCAGACCCAGGTGCGCACCGATGTGCGCCAGCGCACCGTCACCCAGACCGACTACCGGACGGCCACCGTCAACAGCGTGCAGCAGCTGCCCGGACAGACGAGCACGCAGACGCGCATCCAGTACGTCACGCTCACCCAGCAGGTGCCGGGCGCCACCCGCACCATCGTACAGACCCGGACCAACGCGCGCACCGTCACCCAGACGTCCACCGTGGTGCGCGCCCAGGTCAGCACCGTCTACCGCACCCAGGTGGTCAAGGCGACCTGCGGATACAACTACGACGCGCCCAGCAACCCGCTCCAGTTCTAGACACGCCCTCCACCATTCGCCCCGCCATCAATTGTTACAATAACTTATGTTGTCACGTGGTCAGACAACAGCCGTGCACATTCAGTGTAACCGTGTAAGAGTGTGGACATCTTCAAAGCCAAGCGTCTCATACACAACTGTAACGAAATAAAAGTGTCCATAAAAACAGATACGGTGTTTTAGTTTTCACGAAACGCAATGCAGGCCCTCCCGTTCTTCTAGTGTGAGCAGTCCGTCCGACTAGATCCAAGCCTGTTATAACTCTTATTTTTTAGACTCAGCTATACTCGTGATATCATTGGAACCGTCGCTATATTATTTGATGCAGTCTTCTTTGCTGTGTAGTGTGTATATAGTGTCATCGCGCATACCCGAATTCATCTTTTCTGTAAGTAGGTATTAGGTGATCACTCAGTCAGACTCAGCAACATTGGTGTGGGCTGTCTGGTTTTACTCTGGCCAGCTCTGGCACTTACTCCGGCCGAAGTACGGGCAAGGTCTGGGGCTCTATTGGAGCTGACACACGATGGCCCAGAGCTCGCCCGAACCATAGCCGGACTTATGCCGCATCAGCCGTGCCATGTCTCAACCACAGTACTTAACAGTACTTCAGCCACAGTAAGCCAGAGCAGCTACGAGGCAGCCAGACTTGACCGTAGCACGCCATGGCAGGAAGCCAGACTTGAGCCGGAGCTGGCGGTCCGAAATCATACCAACTCCGGAGCGCTGCGGCAAAGACTGGCTAACCAGAATGGAGCCATGTCGACCCAAACCCTTCCGACAGCGTTCCGTTTACACCGACCCAAATATGGCATGTCGAAGTTGCCGGGGCAAAACGGGCACACGACACATGCCACATCAGGCGTGTCAAGACTGATCCCATTTTCCTTTGAAATCACAACCTACCCCGCTCGTGCTGAAACTTGTGGTCGTTTCTCGGTTCGTGTGACACGTTTCTATTTTGTATCTCCATGCAAGGTAATATTCTCCATGTAGGTACCCATCCACCCCTATAAGCTATCTTCACCGGCTGGATAAGGTGCAACTGTACCCCGGCGACAAGTGACAACTGCACGTCTCCACAGCACTAGCGCACCGACGTATACCTACTATGCATTTCAGACCCCATGAGACCCTACTTTTCGGCGATAATTTCTTCAATTTTTGTCCAATTAGCTTGAAATTTTGGCAAACGATATTTCAGCTCAAGCGCCAATTTTTGTCAATATGGTCTCTTAACAAAATATCAAAATTTAGAGCACTTGTCGTTGGCTCGTAATGTTAATCAGTTTTTACACCCGGATAGAGGCTCACTCGCTACCGCACCGGATTGGATAGGAGCGCTGGCCAATCACGTTGCGCCGGGCCGAACTAAACTCCGCCCACTGGCCGTGACCGGGATGGGTCTATGCCGCTTCAGTCGGTGTCAGCACCGCGGAGAGGTCGGAGCGGGACCACATACTGGAGACAAGTGGAAGCTGGCAAAGTTGTTTCGGGACGAAAGCCAAAAAAAAAAAAAATTATCTGTTTGAGGGCATTTGGTATCCTCTTCATCTTATTTTGGTATTTAAACATCGAACCAACTCAGAATATTCAGAATGATCAAAATCAAGGTAGGATCTATTGGAACTGAACCGGCCCTATGAAGGAAAGAGGGATAGACTCTTGGACTCTGAACATTTATTTAAGCCGGAGTTGCACCTATCTCATCGTCAGGTTGGGTCAGGTCACTACCCGATTACCTATAAGATCATGTGTAAGCCTGTGCTTAACCCAAAAATATTGATATATTTGGCAGTGCCAATAAATGTTTCTGAGGAAGGCGCAGAAAGCAACAAAGTAGGATGAAGAGTCTCGGGCACGGCCGACTGCCTGGGGCATCGCTCCAGCGAAACGACCGTATTTCGTGATTCGTGAAGCGGTGCGGGGCGCCGGGTGGGGCAGAAGCGTAATGTGTCGTATGGTAGAAATGGCCTTTATCGCGGTATCATGTGTGTGTTATGTTGTTAAGACGTGCACAAAAAGAAATAGCAATGTGGCAGGCGGACATTGGGCACTACACGAGAACGATCATCAATAAACTCGGTATCTTTTTTGTAAAACTTAAGTAACAGTAGGTACTATGTCCTCAATGGTGAGGAAACTATCTCTAGGCTTTCACTTTTCATGTTTGCATTTCAACACACAAGCTCTGGGGGCAAAGTTAGTCTGGCGACCTCCTCAACCTAAGTCGATGATCAAATGGATTAGTCCTGAAGGTGTTCAATGCTTAGTTGCACCGGGATGATATAAATCGATCACGCCGGCATACATTCCTAATCAAATTTCATATATCAAACACATAAATTGCATCATGTTAATGGTGATTCTGTTTTGCAATTTTGACGTAGTCTGACGCGATAGGTACATAATCTTACGCAATCATTTGAAATCAACAGCGTCTTTTATGCGCGTTTTTCACAAGCCCCGAATCTTGTGTGGAAATATAATTTTTTTGTGACTGAACAAGGTGTGTGTACATTTGTGATAGATACAATTAGTCGAGGGCTTCAGCTGGTGCGTTACTTATGCGCGTTATTTAGCTCATTCGGTGAAATTACGGCTGCAACGCCAACTGCACGGCAGCTACGGTCCATGCGAGCCGCCCCGGTGCGACAGCTACTGCCCCGCCCGCTCCACGCAGTCGACTGACCGGCCAAGGTCACTACCCCGTCCGCCGGGAGGGCGGAGCTTAATGGTCACGTGTTTGTGACGTCACACATACGCACGGATAGCCTCTACTCCACTGACGGATTTACGGAGCCGATTTTAACATTACGAGGCAACGACAAGTACCCTAAAATTTGATATTTTTTTAAGAGACCATATTGGTGAAAATTGGCGCTTGAGCTGAAATGTGCATTGTGAAAATTTGAAGCAAATTGGACAAATATTGAACAAATTATCGCCAAAAATTAGGGTCTCATGGGGTCTGAAATGCATAGTAGTATCGTTATAACGATTCTAGATCTCCAGAATAATGAAAGCCTTGGTCGATTCATATTTCAGAATAGATTGCGTAATTTGGCGGACCGGCTATATAAGACTCTTCAGAGCGTCAGGGAGGTGCGGTGCGTAATGGTCCAACGGACCGAAGCACCTAACCAGCAAAAGAAAAAAAGTCAGGAAGGCGCTAAATGGGTGACATAAAGTCAAGGCCTCGCGGGTCGCCCAAGAATGAGAATGATGTCATTTTTTCGGAACGAATGCGTAGAAGTTAACAGCAAATGGCCATTTAACGTCGGGATGACCGATAATGTGAAAATGAAGCACGGTGAAGATAAAAAAAAAAACAATCTACCTAACCTGACCTAACATTACGGCTAAACTACTGACCTTCGACAATGAGCCTACCAACCTATGCAATGCAACCCACAAACCTACAACCTACCAACCTAAAACCTACCAACCCAACCTACCAGCCTGCAACCTATTAACCCACGCCCCGCTGGGCTATTCAGCCATACGCGCCCTGCTGGAGTGGTTGTAGAAAGACGGGGAAAACGGCAATCGAAAGCTCTCAACAAGGCGGATCTTAAGAGCCCAAGTTTTTTGCTTAAGTAGGTCAGAGGTCAGGTCAAGGTCAGGTTAAGGGTACAACGTGCAAGTTTCTACAGTATCGGCCTTGCACCGTAGTTGCCGAAGAATGGACTGAGACTGATTGCCCAAAACGTGTTCTTAGGCTACCAGGACAATATTCGTTACATATAATATCATTCAAAGGTCAAGGTCAAGGTCAAGGTCAGGTCAGGTCACCAAAAACGAAATATAGAAAAGGACATGTGCGACGCATGTTTTATGGGTCATTTTATTCATAGAATTCAATAGGCACACTCAATAAGTGATATGGACCACATCTGGATGAATTTCAGGTCGAGGTCAGGTCAAGGTCAGGTCAAGTGAGGTCAAATTTTTTAAGTTGGTTGTTAAGGCCTAAAAATGTGTCTATCTGATGCAGTTTTTCACAGTGAATCGAATGGTGCTATTTTTGTTTCCGTGCGAGGTCTAGAACTAAAAAAAAACGTTTTAAAAATGTGTGCCGTGACGTCATAAAATTTTGAATAATTCCCACATTTTTGAACCGATTCTTCTAAAAATTGCTATGTAGGTGCACATAGACCACTTCTCGGACACATATTTGTTTTTTAAACACTCAAAATTTTGGGTTTTATAATCATTTTCCCAAAAAAGCCAGTTTTTTTAAGAAAAAAAGGGCCAAAATCCAAAATTTTCAAAAAAACCGAGATAACCATTTGATAGACAAAGTAAAATAAATTATCACCTTTTTTGTTACGTCTTGGATCGTTTAAAAATGAAGATGTTAGCGGCGTTTGAAATTTTGCCGTTTTTTAGACGAAAATAGCGAGCATGACGTCACTAAAACGTCATTTTCTCAAAAAAATTCCCGACGGATTTCGCTCAACTTTTCAGGTAATGTGTCAGATTGATGTATGATAAGGTACTGAAAGGTACTGAAGGTACGTCGCTGGCGTAACGTGTTTAGAAGTTATCGGCGAAAAACGGGAGGGGGCACATTCTGCCCCCCTTCAGCGGGTTAACCGAACTTACCAACCGTACTTCATCTACAGATATAAGTACCTGATCACCCCTGCCGTCCCTGCGATCACACTTACGTCTTCTGCTGGCCTCCTGCCGGAGCCGGGAGCCCAGCTCGTATTCGGGCTTTTGGCCTTGCCTCCGAACTTGCTCCGAACAACCTCAAACACCCGATGAAAATCAGGCGATAAAATACTTACAACCATCTTACAACAAATAACAAATACAAAACAAAAATAATGCAGCGCTGAGCGCACGTTCGGCCACCCCCCATCCCGCATCCCCCTCCACCCCACGCGTACAACTCCTGGCACGTGTTGAAATTACAAATACGACCAGAATGGCTAGTTCTAAGAGATATACCAAGGCAGTATGTACCATATACTAGCATATGGCAGCAAAAATGCGGCATCTCTGGGGGTGAGACTAAATGCTTACTTCGAAATCTAAGCTGCGTTGCGGCATTGGCGGTTATGTGCGGCGTGTATGCCGCATGATTAGTAAGCGGCGACCACTAAATTGAAAACTCAATAGCTTTGACCTGTTTTCAATGGATAACACTGCATACCAAAAA